AAACGGGGGGGGGGGCACTATATTTTGGCTCTTTACTCTACTGTGTGCCATGTAACTGATTTCTGTCCTTTGCCCAATGACATGCTAATAAAGCTTAACAGTTGAGCCCTTTTCAGATAGGAAGCGGTATGCGCTGTGCTCACCGCAGAGGGTTGGCGCAGCACAGGAGAGGAGGGCGCACACGTGCAAATCACACACGTTGGGCGCCAGTTGCTAGGCGACCAAAAAGCTTTGCAGGAGGTGGTTAGCAGATATTAACAAATTGTTTGAGCAGTGGACAATGTATCTCTCAACATGTCAGCGAAAAGCTCTGGCTTTAGTTGTATTGGTGAGGAGGAGGAGATGAGTTTCAGCAAAGAAGAAGAGGGTGTGGGTCCCTCAAAATCAGCTTCCTCTCAGTTTTCTTTGTGGTCTGTCAGGTTCTCTGCAGTTGGACATGTCAAGGCGTTGTCATAGAGCGCTGCGCCAAAGTTAACCTTTTTTTAACTTCAGCACGGGGACAGCTCTTAATGGGTGTTAAAATTGTTGGTAGTCTTATGTCTTAATTGTTTGACACTTGGTATTGTTGGTCGTCTATGCCGTCATTTGTATTGTCTTGTTTTAAATGTCAGCTGACCAATGTAGATTCCTCTCAACTATGTTGAAATGGCAATAAAGCATTGAGTTGAACTGAGTCTTTAAAATTAGATTTTACAAAGAGTGGCTCTACTTTATAAAGTGACATGCAGGCCCCTGTAGAAACAAAGATCATCATAGCTATCGTTACCTACTTTGTGATGGCGCACACACACACACACACACACACACACACACACACATATTTGCCTGAGACAAAAAAGGTGTCAAAAAGCCAGTTGTTAATCTAATTTCTCTCTGTTTCTCACACAGCAGCAACAAAGAACCATTCATATTTGACTGAAATGATTTCCACATTCCTCTGTCATCTTTCCTTTTCTGTCTCTTTTCCAGCACTTTATCTTTCACCAACACAGATATATTAGCTGCCATTTCTGCAACTGCTTTAGATGCCTTAATTTATTTGCACCTCTTCGGCCAACAACCTGTCAGTATTTCTTAATACACACATGTTTGTACAGTCTCCATCTCTTTCCACTTCCTGCTCTCAGTCACCAGACTGCACTAATAGTGCTTGATGCTCTGAAGCAGGAACTATCTGTTGGTTAACTAGTAGCTCAAGCTGAGCCACTGTGAACAGTGTTTTGTACTCACTGCACCGTTGGAGATTTATTCAAGCTGCAGTTACAGCATTTTCTAGAAAAACAGAAGAGAAGCTTCATTTTGACACAAACACACTGTTCCTCCAATTATGCATGTTTCCATATGTTTAATGCACATACAACAGGTTGTCACCACATTGAGTTTTTGTCCTTCTGTTTGCGCTGAGTGTGATAGAGAAGTGCACACACTCAATGTTTGCACTAGTGCACACGGCACTATTAATGTTGAACAGTAGATGCAGGTTCTGCAGCAACATAAGCTGCCATCCAGGCGACGTCTTTTTTTTTGTTAAATTGCATGTAACAGCAGGGCTCTGTCCAGGTGACCTGTCTCCCACTGAAAATATTTGGCACATTATGAACTGAAAAATACAACAAAAGAGGCCCCAAACTAAAGTAGTGTTGTTAAGAGAAGAGGTGACGCAACACAGTGGAAACAGGCCCCTTCCCAACTTTTTTGAAGTGTGTTGCTGGAATCACATTTATAATGAGCACATGGTTTTCAAAAAACAATACAGTTTCTGTTTCAACATTTGATGTTTTTGTATTATGTTCAATTATATATAGGTTTTAAATGATTAACAAATCATTGCCTTCTGGTTTTATTTACATTTTACACGGTGTCCCAGCTTTTTTAAATGGGCTTGTATTTGAGTTGAAAATTGAAATTGGCATCACTCCTAAAATGTAACTAGAATGAGGACATAGACTCACTGAAGTAGAAAGAGAAATTGATATTTAATTGAAGATTAAACCTTAATCAAAACTTTTGAACCTTCAGCAGAAATGCTGCCCTGCGTTTTGTATGTAAATGTTTACAGATGTGCATGTGCCAGTGCATTAATAATCCAGCAGAGTTGGGGAAATTGAGCTATTTTTAGGTTCCTCCTGTGAATGGAGAGTTTGAAGTGTTGTTACAGAATCCAGAATATGTTGTGCCCCAGGTTTCAATGTTAACATGCATAAAAATGGAAAGCACAAGAGTCTCATTCTGTGTCTGTGTGTGTCCATGTCTGCCTGCTTCCTTCACAGTCCTCAGATCTTTAAGTTCCAGTTGGATGGTATTACTGTTTGATGTAGTCAGAGCTCTGTGTGTGTGTGTGTGTGGTTCCTTTTCATCACCTGGAATCCTCCCATTGGTAGGCATTCCTCTTTCTTTCCCTGCATCTCTACCTCCCTCAGCCCTTGTTCTGCTTTCTCTACAAGTCTGTGCTCTCTGTCATCTCTTCTTTCTTCTCTCCTTCCCTTCCCCTGTCTTTTCTTATTATTTTCCACCCACTTCCACCCATTTCAGTCCAGCTATCTGAGAGGACTGAGACAGTTAATACACAAACCTCCCTCTTTCAGACAGAGCTGTCTTACAAATCAGTGTAGTCAGTAGACCAGTTGTATTTGTGTGTTTTATAATCCCTTTTTCAGTCAAACACACACAGCTAATAGCATCTTGACTTTTTCTGCACTGGGGCCATATTTGCAGGAAACAAAGACCTCTTCTTATTATAAAATGGGAGCAGACTTGCATTATTTTAGCCTTATAGTCACAACTGATTTGGACATAAGGCCTAAATTTGCTACCGTTGTCATGTTATATACAATATAAATCAGCTTGCTCCTTTAGAAGAATTGGTTGTATTAGTGTTTATTTTCTGTTGTCTATGGTGGTTCTGTGGCTTTTTTTTTTTTTTTTGACTGTGTTGCAGTTCTTTTTCCAAATGACAGATATTGTAGCTGTCAGAAATCCCTTAGTCTTGTAATTACAACACACACATGGCACAACATGGCATGAAGGCGGCATTTTTTCCTGGCTGGATGTTTACAGTAATTGGCATCTTGTTCAGTATGGAAATGTTCAACACAAAATACTTTTATGTGTACTTTTATGCCTTCTTACAAATAAAGAGAAAAGAGCTTGAAAGCATTATTAAAATGGCTATATGCAAAATGACACTCTTTGAGCAGTTTCTCCATTTTGGGCACTGATTTTTCTCTTAAGAGAGTGCAGGGCATCTCATTTACAGAACAGATCTCCACTGCTGTTGTAGAAAAAGTATGTAATTTAACTTCAGTTTGACTTAAAGGATAAGATGTGATGGTTTTCCACCCAGTTCTCAGTTGATTTTGTATGAAAGTACAGTGCAGCTCATTGACATGCTCGAACATGAAGGCAGCTCCTGTGGCGATCAGTGAAGAAGCTGTCCTCAGCATCCTCAACAAAGTCGCTGTTAGTAACCACAGCAGGTTGTCTTGTTCTGGCCAAAGCAGCCTTGAACCTGAAAGAGTACTGCAGTTGTCTTGAGTGACAGCTTCTGCCATTATGTGTCTAGTTACAGCTAATCAAAAAGCTCCAAACAAAACCCAAGCTTTCAGAGACCATTTCAAAGATTGTACGTTGTTTCTCACTGCCATTAACAGCACTAAACATCAGAGGAAATGTGTTGTATGTAATACATGCCTTTCCCACCTTGCCAGACAACAAAGTGGTATGGTATTGTATCAAATGGAGAGCACTGCTGCAAGCTTCGAGTGTAGAGGCCATGCTCTTCGCCCTCTGAGCTGTTTGGAGAAAACAAGCAGGGTTAGAGAGGCAGAATTATATTAGAGGCTCTCACTGTCAAACACACAAGCTGTTCTCTCTCTCTCGCTCTCTGGTAGTTGGTGTGCTTCTCACAAATAAACACTCTTTTCAGCTCCTTGCTCTCCTTCTGTCCATTTATCACGCTCTTTTTTTTTTCTCTTTAGTAAGATGGCTGGTTAATTTAATGAAGGAAGTAAGAAGCAGTGATTGATAAAAGAAGAGAAGGAAGGAGGTGGATTTGGTGAATACACAGCCATTTTAAAACAGGCTAAACAAACATGTATATCACAGTCGTGTTGATTCCGTTTTAAAAACAAGAACACAACCTGTAATGCTAATCAACAGGGTTAATTTAATGAAGGAAGTAAGAAGCAGTGATTGATAAAAGAAGAGAAGGAAGGAGGTGGATTTGGTGAATACACAGCCATTTTAAAACAGGCTAAACAAACAGCAAGTGCAGATGTGCAGCAAGAAAATCTTTGTGCCGTCTGTTTCTATATGTACATTAATTCAGTCCAGTTTGCTTTATTTCCATATTCAAGTACATTACATCTGTAATTGCTGTTAGATAAATACATAGAACAAAAATTGTGGGAAATGCCAAACAAATCCAAAGAGTTTCAGTTGATTCTCATGTCTGACAAAGACACTGTGTGGTAGTTTGTCCTTTGATTTGTCTCCCAGATGTAGGCCTCATTACAAATTACTTCAGTAGATTTCAGAAGATATTCTTACATATCCTGTCTCCCTACCTCTCACACTTTCCCTTTAAATGTGTGCTTTCAGTTCAAGGTGGATGGTGAGTGGTGGACATGGATTGACTATGAGCGTTTTCTGGAACTGGTCCAGGCTGACGAGGAGAGTAGGGGACAGCAGACTTTCTCAGCCTTGGACTACATAGCCAAGACTCCCAGCTGGGCTCTGTTCGGAGCCTGCGAGCAAGGTTTCGACCCCGCAGACACACGCTTCCAACGACACAACAAAACCAAAGACATCTCAGGATGCTGATGATGAGAGAAACTGAGAGAGGTAGGGTGAATACAGCAAGCGGTGACATCTGTAGTAAAACATAATAAAGGAAGTAGGGTTTAATGTTTGTATTGTCCCCACTTTGAGTGGACCGTTACCTTCTTCTGGGCAGCTTTTATTTAAACTGTCTACATCTGCCCTCATTGTTGCTTGAAGTTTGATCTTTAATTTTATTGGCCGTATTTGGAATAAACATGTTTGGAATGAGCTGCCTTGTCATTTTTGACACTTCTGCACTTCTGCCAGGCAACATATTGTCAGTGGGACGTTTACACTAATCAGAATCAGAAGCAGCGTTTTTGGCCAGGTGTGTTGGACACGCAGGGAATTTGACTTCGGTACAGTGGTTCTCAATGTGCATGTACAATGTTCTTCTATAAGGAGGAAAGAAGTGAAGTAAACATTTACAGTAAATGATGAATAGCTTCTGTGGTGCTATTTTATGTATTGATCCACCAATAGAAATTAGAAATATCTCAGTGGGATGTTTATCTCATATTACTGTGGAACATGCTGCCATATATCATAATGAAATAGCTTGCGTTAGCTTTCACTTTCATCTTTTGAAGGAAAATCTGGAGCTCAAGAATTTGTTTTGGTCAGGCGGAGCTGTCATATGCTCTGTTTCACAATTCATTGAACAACGGAGAACATGCAAATATTTTGCACAATTAATAGATCACCTCCCTAGGGCGCCTTCCTAGGGAGGTGTTCCAGGCATGTCCCACCGGGAGGAGGCCCCAGGGAAGACCCAGGAAACGCTTATGTCTCTCGGCTGGCCTGGGAACACCCCGGCATTCCCCTGGAGGACCTGGAGGAAGTGTCTGGAGAGAGGGAAGTCTGGGCATCTTTGCTTAGACTGCTGCCCCCGCGACCCGGTTCCGGATAAGCGGAGGAAAATGGATGGATGGATGGATGGATGTGGTGTTGTTGTATTTAGCTACACTTCAGCTGTTTTGTCTATCATATAACAATACACTGTACTACATATAATCCAACCATCTCAAACTGCAGCTTAGTTAAAAACATCTGCACCAAATTTTGGTTTCTGTGAGTCAGTTTGTTACAAACTGTAAGTGTAGTAAGCACTAAAATGAGAAGTACTGTATTTACCTGTAGTAAAAGTCTATAGTAACATTAGAGTTCAGATTCAGTTCATTGCCACTTCATGCATAAGATAAAACATTTAGAAGGAGAAAATAAAGGAACTATAACCTTGTGCATGAGTCTGAGAAACCCCAAGAGATGAATGAAAACCAAATAAGATTGAAGATTACAAACTCTCTGTGTCCTCACTTCATATATCTGAGCATGTTCCTGTCCCACAGAGAGCAGGTGTGTGTGTGTGCATGTGTGAGAGAGATGACTGGTGAAACATATGGTGTCCTGTAACCTTTAAGCCCTGTGGTCTGCTGTGTGCTGTTCAGCCCAGAGTCTGATTGATGAATGAGCCGCTGGCAGTTAAGCAGGCGAGAAGCCAGGTTGGTCTCGGAGCCGAATCACCCACAGCTGATTATTGTCCATCACACAGGTGGGCTGAAAATAAAAGACCTGTGACACTTGACCACCTGTGACACAGCTCTAGGTGAGAGGTTTGTATTGACCCTGAAACTGAAAGCTGTTGATGCCGCTTATGGATTTCACAGGTTGTGTGACAAACCGTTGTGTGATGTGTTTAAAGTACAGCTGTAACACTGCTGCAGAGATAGTATGCAAGTGTGTACCCATACTGCCACTGAAATTCCACAGTAGCCAGCATGCCACTATTTGATCTGTACACTGTTAGCCACACACCTGGTATGTTCACCATAAGAATAAGGCAATCATGTCTCAAGCCTTTGAGTAGTGTTTACATGCCATAGAACTTAATCCAGCAGCAGCTCAGATGTAGTGACTTTGTACTAAATTGTTCTTCGACATCACTGCCTCACCTCAGCTATCTTTTTTTATTTTTTATTTTTTATTTTTTTACTTAACCCTTACTAGGAATTCCTAGATGGCAGCCATATAAATTATTATAATTCAACACAAGATAAAAACAATGGACTCATGAACATTACAAACATTCATAAACACATTTGTCCTTTTTTTTTTTTTAACTTGTACAGTCCAGGTGTTAGTGGCAGCAGACTTAGCTCCTGCAGGGGATCCCGCCCAGGCCAGATCCCTCCAGTGAGTTCTCTGCCTGTTTTGGTGTCACCTCCCAGTTGAACATGCCCCAAATACCTCCATCTCCAGCTGAAGCTTATTTACGCCTAGCATTTATTTTTCCTGCTGTCTGTGGTTTGGCACTCAGGCTGCTGTACATGATTGAGTGTATGGATTTCAGGCAGGTTGCCAAGGAAAAAGCCAGACCTTAGAGCTGAATCACACTCTGCTGATCAATTCCATAAACAGCTAAATAAAGATGTATTCCCTGCCACTGTTAAATGGTCGTTTGGTTGAGATAATTTATAACTGGTTTTTTGTTTAAATAAATACATACATACAGTACAGTACAGTTATTTACAACACGGAAGATATATACTGTACATTAATTTGATTAAACATGTAATAATCATTAAAGAAACTTGCATTACTTTAATAAGTAGATTAACAGTGGTAATTTTCGTGTATTATATATAAATACTTTTTAAACAGAAAACCTCTATTAATTTGTAAACAGCCATTAGCCAGAATAAAGACAGTTGTTTCAATCTAGTGAGAGCAGCGCATTAATATAATGACTCTGACTAATTTTCAGGAGGCTCTGCTGTGGATTTACTGTACCTGCATTCTTTTTCATCCAGCCATGGTGAAGTTCCCTTTGGGCTCAGTAAGATGTATATCAAGAGCTTTTTGTGTGTGTATAGTTTGTAGAGCTGTGAAGCTCTTGTCTGCGCACATGGACATGGTGTTCAACACCAGTCCCAGAGCACAGATGCCTCATATTTAGATGTTGTCCAGAGAAACTGTGTGTACTGTCTATACATGTAGGATACACACGTTCTAGAGAACATTTTCTGAGCTCTTGTAACATGCTTAAAAGGTTAGTCTCTAGTAAAAACACTACTTCTGTAGGCATTGCATTTCAACATAGGAGGTCATAGGTCATCATGCAG